CAAGAACCCCCCCCCAAATCATCACCCCTCATCACTATGGCTACATGGCTGCCAGTTAATCTGAGGTGTGTGTGCTGATACCCTGTGTTTGTGGCTCTGTGTATTATGGCTAAACATCTCTATTTTGGTCTCATTTGTCCAAAGGGCATTTTTTTCAGCAGTCTTATGGTTTCTTCAGATGAGAGGGAGAAGACACTTTTCTCCCGGCAGCCCTGGAGGCCTGTAAATTCTGAAATGTAGCTCTTGGGTTTTTTGCTGCTTCTCTGAACACTGCATAGTCTAACCCAAGGGTGAATTTGCAGGGATGTCCACAAGATTGTTAACACAAACTTGAATGCTCCACACCAACAAACACAGAGGTGCTTACTGATGATCAGTGAGTGCACTTGATTGGTAGGGCCCAGCTGCAACTTCTTAATTCGTATGGAAGCAACGGGGACAACAAGGGCAACAGGTAAGTAGATTATTAGTAGTTACAGTTATGTTGTTACTTGCGTTGAAACAGTGCTTCCGTTATCTGCAAGACAAATAGACAGACAGACAGACAGACAGACAGACAGATAGATAGATATAGATATATAGATATATAGATATATATCTATATAGATATAGATAGATAGATAGCTAGATAGCTAGATAGCTAGATAGAAGCAGCAAACTGTTCTAATGTGTGAAATGCCTGCCAGAGAAATTCAATTTGTGACAGTGATTGGCTGTAGAGTGTTGTGCCCCTAAGGAACTGATGATCACATGTTTGGGGATCTTCAGTGCAGCCACAGGACTGAGGGTGTGATGGGTGCCACTGGGTAAGGAAAGACAGAGGAAGCAGGGTAGAGAAATGGAGGCCGGTGGCTGTGCATATTATGCCTCATTGCTCTCTATTTCCCAACAGCGTTGGCTGATGCATGACATTCTTTTTTCTTTTCAGCTTGCATTTTAAATGAATGACCTCTCCCTAATGCATATTCATTGGCAAGACACAGTGTGGGCATCGTAGACAATGCTGCTGCTATTCTATTTTTACAAAACAAAAGACCTGAAGTATCAACTTGTCATGTGCATACTGGTAAATATTCGGCTTAAACTGCGTGTGTAGGTGTGACTGTATGTGTGGGCAGCGGGCCACCTTGCTTATCTCTGCCAAGGCCCTAGCACCTCTGGTGTCTGCCTGGCTGAGGCAGCCCCAACCCAAAAGCATGTGGGAGGTGTTATTCAACAAATCAAACAACACCCACCCCACCGCCCCCCACCTTGCTTTTTCCCATTACCATAACTATAAAGCAGGGTCTTTATAATGCTTCTGGTTGAAATCATCACATTAGGCTTGATAGTATCCATCCTTCTGCTTGACTGGACTAGTGCCAGTCTAAAAAAAGGGGACATGAGGAAACACAGACAAGGTTAAAAAATGCAGATGGGCCACAGTGTCTGACTGTTTCATGGGTTGCCTGGATAAGATTGCCCTCACACTCAGACGGGAACTCAATCTCCGCTTTCAAGGAGATCTTCTCAACTAAAAGGGTCAAAAGATTTGAAGCACTGTGAAATACGGTGAAGTCTCGTCTCTGTACTATCAAATCTGTCCCTACCTTATCAGTGGCAAAGCAGAGTAACAACAACTACTTAAAATGCTGTAGGTAAGAAAGGGAACAGGAGACATCGGCTGTCAAGATGAAATGTAAAATACTGAGTCCTGGCATCCAAAATAGGGAATACATAATAAGGGAAGGTGATAGACTTTAAGTCATTTGGCTGAATAATACTGAGAGAGAGTAATAGACAATAAGAGGAATAGAATAAAAGAATTATTGCTGCTGTATTTCAAAAATACTGAGCTGGTTTAGACATTGTTTTTTTTTTCTCATTGTTTTGATTTGCCTGCTTTAGAATTCCAGCTACAGTACAGGCCATTAAAATATGATCCACAGGTCATGCATGTGTGTACATTTATAATCTGTTTATTAAACGAACACTTGCCTTTGCACTGGCAAACCATGCCATATGTATATGTATTTCTTGCCCAGCACCGAAGTGTTTATGGATAAAAATACCCATTTTATTTTTAAAGGAAATGTCATGTCCCTGTATGCATGTATAAAATTTGACGCACTATCATATATAAGCCATTTCATACACAATCACAACCTTTTAACTGTATTACGCACATTACTCAGTTTCTTACATGAACCACACTGCAGTGCCTGTTGCAAAACATCAGTGTACAAACTATGAACTATACTTGTGTGTCTCTTGTGACAGGTGCTATCTTTGTAAATATTCTAAAGCCCAAAGTTACCAGGCTGCTACCATAAAAGCAAACATGACAACAGACAGATTCTCAAAACTTTTGCTGCTTGTGTGATGATGTTTGCCTTTGAATCCTTTCTGCCTCACATATAACCAAGATTTGTAGCTGGGAGATCACCCACAGCTTTTTAATGCTGTTGACGGCTTGGCCCCACTGGGCATTTGGAGATGGAGCTGATGGATGGGAGGGTACAGTGGGCTATCAATTTGCTTGAATAAACTTCCCCCCAGCAAGTCTTGAATTTGAAACAGTGTTTTTGTTTTTCCCTGCTTTACCAAACACTTGGCCAGGGGTTCTTTATCGGGCAGACATAAGTAGACAAATTTGATGAATTTCAAATTTATTTTAATATTCAGACATTTTTTCCAAAGATAAAATGTACTGGGGTGACAGTTTTGATTGTAGGATTTATGGCTATCCAAACTTTTTGAACAGGTTTTAAAATGAGACTCTGGGGAGTGACAGTGAACTTTAATATGATTGGTCAGCAGACAGAAAAGGACAAGAGTCAGTGTTCTGCATTTTCCCATTTTTGACAAATAGATTAAAAAAGACCGCTTACGCTGTAGAAAATTAAGAGCCATATAACAAGACTGGTTATAAAAGAAACTTCTGCTAAAACCTCTTTATGGGGTTTTAAAAATTCCTCTTTGCAGGAACAAACAGTTGCTGCAAGTAAGATATTAGAGATCTGAGGCCTAATGCTTTCAAATTTGGTAATCCTTCAGATGAAGCATCAAAAAGCTCTGCTATAACATCTTCAGCCCCTGAATAATAGATATAAAACATAGCTCAAATGCACCAGAAGCTGTGTTATCCATTCATTAACAGACCATATTCAACGCTGCTAAAAGCTTTTCATCACTTACATTTGATTACTGACTCTTTTTATTCTTTGTAATCCCTGTAAATGTCCTTAATCTATTAGAAACTATATGAAATGATGTACCCAGGCATACACTGAATTGCCCAGGGACACTACTTTTCGAGACTGTGTGAGGTGGCTCAGGGTAAAGTATGGAATTAAATACCTGCTTATATATATAGTTTGTTTTAAAAAGATTGCTGTCTACTTCCAGTGCCCACTGTTTTCATGGTCCTGGGTCTTGGACCCTGATTCTGTTTGGTTTTTAGTTCACTTTCATACTTCATACTTGAACATGAGTCTTAAGCTCTTAGTTTCAGCTTCGATTTTTCTTATAGTTTTTGTCGACCATGTGTTGTCTCTAGCTTTACTTCCTGTCTTTTACCTTAATTGTGTTCAGCTACGGTTAGTTTCACTCCTGTTTTCAATTCCCTTGGTACCTCATGTGTATTTAGAGTATAGCTTTAGTTTGCATATCGTGCATCTGTTCTGTCATTCCTAGTGTGTTCCCTACTGTATGTGATTTCCCTGCTTTATTCCTGGAATTCCAAGTGTTTGAGTTTATCCTTTGGATTTGAGACTGTTTTCCCTCAGGTTTTGGATTCATTTCTTTTGATTTTTTCTTTTTAAATTTAATTAGAGTCAATAATAGCTCTGCTACTTCCACATACTCCCAGCCTATGTCTGGTGTAACGTGCTACTGTAATCCCACAACATTTTTCAGTAGTTCAGTAATGTAACACATTACTGTTGTAAATTTAGCGATAAATACAGTAGTTACAGGTATGTTGTTACGTGCATTGTAACGGTGCTTCAGTTATCTGCAAGGTGGACAGATAGAAAAAACAGATAGATAGACAGATAAAAAAATCTAGCTTTGTTTCCCCCTAAATTTTGCTTCTTTTCTTCCTCAGCACTTGAGTTGATCACTTGATTTCCGTTCCTATGCAGGGAGAAGGAAAATAAGTGATCTACAGCTTTTGAGGAGTGGAGATATGGTCATTACGTTTATTTTTACTGCACAAAACACCGTGATGGTGAAATCCAAACTGCACCCAAGACAAACACCTACATAACACTGCTAACAGAACTTCGGCTGGTTTTCAACTTTGCTTTGAGTTCTCGGTTTTGTATTCGTCCACAAAGAAAGATCACGTGTAGCCTCAGATTTATATTGTTAACTGGTAATTTTGTAACAGTTACATTTCAGATCATTTCTTTTTAATTGATCCATATGACATTAGTATTGGCATATATATATATATATATATATATAGCCATGTTTCTAAAACTAATAATAAAAAGAGCAGGAGCTAAGTTGACTTTAAAGGTGACATCTGTGGTTACCTAAATTTATTTCCCACAAAAATATGATTGTTTCACCTTCAAAGAGGCACGCCTAGTATTTACTTTTGTCCTCTGGAACCTCAACCTTTTGCAAGTAGGATAATGGAGAGTGTTTGCTCCAAGAGATGTCAGCTGAACAAGCGTTATCACAGCTCCCTGCTGCACGATCCAGCTCCAGTTGCCTTACTGCTATAAAGACAACTGAAACATTTGCCCAAAGTACTGCTCTACTGGGAACAGGACTGTGCCGGAGCGCTTTGTGTTCAGCAATAACATTTATATTATAGCCACTGTATATCTAAAGAGCAAATCTGTGTGGGTCACTAAAGAAATAATAAGAAAACTGTGTATAAATCTTTTTAACCAATCTCACGAACATTTTACCACCGCTAGGAAGTGCTAGTGTTAGCTGAACCGAAACCTATTTAATCTAAAGAAAGATAATTTCAGCATCAGATCTGTGTGATGGAGGTACTTTACCTGCCTTAGGCCGTCCTTGCTGTTCTGCATGATCCTCAGGGCGTAGTTAGACCGCTGTCCTTTGCTGTTGAATTCAATGTGCCCTGTTAGACCTTCCAATTCTACCTATCCAACAAAGAGACGGCACACATGTTAAAAGATATCCCGTCTGCTTCCCTCTCGGCGGTACCTATTGTGAATATGACTTGAGGTTACTTTACTGCTGCTGTCTCTGTATGAGCCGCCTGAGCACTATTTGTCATATTTAAAATAAGAATATGGAGACAAGCTGGTAACAGCTTCAATTTAGAGCAAAAAAGAAGAGTGATTAGTTGTGCCCTCTTTCTCAGAGTGAGAAAGACAAATGGTCTGATATCGAACACGTGTCACATTTAAGTATTTCAGTCACTTACAGTCATTTCGCCCTAACAGGAAAACACATTTTATTCCCTTACAGCACATCTTTATCTCCCCTCCTCCACTGTGTCTCAGTATAATGTAGAGATGAGATAAACTGACCTAGTCGATAGGGAGCATATCGTTAAAGAAGAAAACAGCACGGACATTATCTGCTGTCAGTAAAAATATCTAGACTTTAAAATATCCAATTAGCATCCAAAGAAATATATAAGAAAAGCAGTAATGAAGTAATTAGTATTATCGGACAAGCTACTTTTTGGGGACAGCCTCAGTGACTTCCAGGAGTTTCTGATGCTTGTCAAGAGTTGACGAAACAAAATTTGTTAGCTTTAGAGTTTTGGCAGTACTTCTCAATGTATTACAAAACTTTCATATGTTTACTGACAGCAGATAAAAGTGAATATTAGAGGTGCTGGTACATGGATTTTGTTAAATTATTGGACAGAGCCACCTAGCTGACTGATGACTGTACCAATGCCCTTTCCTAACTCTAGGAAAGAAAAAAATCTTGTAAGTCTTGTAATCTCAGTCATTCTCCAGCAGAAGCAGCCTTACCATCCTCAGGTAATTCATGAGGCTGGTGCCGTGCTCCCAGATCTTGGAGGACTTGCAGGAGAGCTGAGTGGCTCCGACGTTCTGGCTACGGTTCAACTCCTGGACCGCCGCCACCACAGCGTATACCGCATCAAAGAGCAAAGCTGACGAGAGCTGCAGAGGGAAGGAGGCAGGTGAATGTATTATGCACACACACACACACACACACACACACACACACACACACACACACACACAC